GGCGGAGGCCCCAGAGCTCAGACTCGGCTTCCCAGGTGGTCCAGCAGGACTGAAGGGCGCTGGGCCTGCCTCCTCCCTCTGGCCAGACTGTTATCTCTACCTGCCATCTCCACAGAGGAGCCCTGAGTAATCATGACTAGAGGAAAACCCAGCCTATTGCTGGACATTGGCACAGGTCTCTTTGTCCTTCTCCAACCCTGACTTTCCTTCCAGTATTTTTTTTTTTTTTGGCGGAACCAGGGATTGAGCTCAGGCCCTTGCGCTTGCCAGGGAAGCGCTTATTCCACTGAGCCATCTCCCTGGCCCCCCTCCTTCCAGTCATTGTACCTCAATAGAAACAGACTTTAAAGGGTATATTGCTTTAGCTATAACTGAGATATTACAATATATATCCAGGTTGCAAACTAATCATAATTATACTAAGACTAGTTTTTATAAATGTAATATATTGTTCATGTACAAGATTTAAAAGGTAGGGCTGATGAGATGGTTCAGTGGTCTAAAGCACCTACTTAGAACAAGTTTAGCAAAAGCACAGGGACCGAGGTTCTAATCCCCCAGCACCACGTGCCAGCCAGCCCCGCCCCCTGGTGGGCTGAGCTGGCCACACACACACACACACACACACACACACACACACACAAGATTTAAAAGGTATTTCATTGGTTTAATCTGACTAAATGCTGTGTATTTCATGGTAAGAGTATGTTAGTCTGGTTGATTTCTGATGTAATGCTGGTATTTCATGTTGATAGTAAATACATGTGTGACCTCTCTTAACTAAAGCTAGGTGGACTTATCACAAACTGTCAAACTCCATGAATAAATGGGTCTAAGAGCTAGTGAGTTATTATTGCTAGGTCTCAAAAAAGTTTATAAATGTACCTGCTAGCTCAAATGTTCATACTTTGATTATATATATTCTCCCCCCACTTTTCTTTCTTTCTTTTTTTTTTTTTTTGCAGAACTGGGGATTGAACTCAGGTCCTTGTGCTTGCCAGGGAAGCACTTATTCCATTGAGCCATCTCCCCGGCAGATTATATATATTCTAATCTCTCAAATAATTTGTTCTTTCCTAGAAGATACCAAAACATATGTAATCATACAGATAAAATCTAAAACCAAAAAGTTATATCTTGGCTCAGTGAGCCCCAGATGTCTGACACAAGCTATGGAAGTTAAAAGGGTTTACAGGAATAAATTTGTCTGAGTTGAGGTGTTTCATAGTAAAAAGGATACAAAATAAACTTACAGATGGAAAATAAAATAGTAATATTAGTATCCTATGGGAAAGAAGGCCAGTAGGAAAGCAGAGAAAAAGTTATGCTTTCCTGGATGCATACAGAGAAAAGAGACATTTCAAGCAGAAATGTCCAAAGCTGCTAGAAAAAAAAAAAAAAGTGTTCATGATAAAGTAAAAAAGTCTCAGATTCATAAGATCATGAGTCTTTACCTCTCAGCCTAAAGAAATCCGTGTTAACTGCCAATATTAAAAAAACTTGAGGGGCCGGGGAGATGGCTCAGTGGAATAAGTGCTTCCCAGGTGGGCCTGAGTTCAATCCCTGGTTCTGGAAAAAGAAAAAATCCTAAAAAGAAACCAGAAAAATAATGGCATACATGTGGAGTCACATTGAAATTTAGGGAGCTGGGGAGATGGCTCAGTAGAATAAATGCTTCCCTGGCAAGTGCCAGGGTCTGAGTTCAATCCCCGGTTCTGCAAAAAAACAAAACAAAAACAAAACAAGCTTGTTAGACCTTCGATAAAAGCTCATACAGATTTGTCGATAGTTGTAGGAGACACTTCCAGATCTTCATCTCTATCCAAAAAGCCTATATATATATATATGGGGTTTTTTTTGTTTGTTTGTTTGTTTTTTTCTTGTGCAACTAGGGATTGAACTCAGGTCCTTGCGCTTGCCAGGGAAGCACTTATTCCACTGAGTCATCTCCCTAGCCCTAAAAGCCAGTATTTGTAATCCTAAAGTTACGTTATTGGAATCCCATCAAGTTGATTCCAATCTACCACTTTCAATACAACCCACAGCAAAAATAAAGAGGCTAAATTATATTTTCAATAATTGAGGAGTTGGGGCCGGGAAGATAGCTCAGTAGAATAAGCACTTGCCTGGCAAGCTCAAGGGCCTGAGTTCAATTCCCGGTTCCACAAAAAAAAAAAATAATAAATAAATAAAAATAAAAAATAAAAAAATAAAAAAAATAATCGAGGAGTTGAGGGGCTCTAAGTCCAGCCACGAAGATGGCTTTCCAGAACCAAGAGAGCGACCCAGGGCCTCACCCGGTTTTTATTCAGTGGGGGAGTGGCTTGAGGAGGATTGACTGAGAATCGTGGGAAGTAGGTGACCATTGTGAGCTGAGCTAGAGGGTAGCCTACATTTACCTAAGGCCAACTGATAAATAGAAGTCCTAGCCA